AAAGAATGACTTTGCTGCTCACAAAGACGTGGCTGAATTTCACACATAGAATGTGGGAAAGAAAGGCGTACCCTCTATATGGTTCCATGTATATAAAACTCAATGACACTAGTCACAATTGTCTTACCTTTGGGAGGTGGGGTGTAATGACTGGGGGACCCCAGTGGCTTTCTGGGGTTCTATGGCCTAACATGGATGACAGACACAAAGCATGTACACTTTGTGAAAATTCAACAAGCTGTGCACTCATGATGTGTTCATGTTCTGGTATGTATGATAAACTTTAACAAACTTTACTTTAAAAAAGGAGGAAGTCTAAGACTTCCACTTAGCAATATCATCTGACACCATCTCATTTCACAGCAGCTAGAAGCGTTGAATGACATATAACCAAAACCTTTTGTAAATGTACAAATGAACTCTCCAGAAAGTAAGGGAAATCCCAGGGGTCGACACTGAGTAAGGTATTGATTTCTTTACCCTGGGAAGGTGGTGTTAATAGATAAACTATAAGAAGATGCAAGGCTTTGGGTCCTTATGGGGTTTAGAGCTAGAGCAGGGACCCCCGTACAGTGGCAGAAACCTTGGAGGGCTATATCCTAAGGGTAAGATTGCCTTAAAGAGAAAAAAAATCCAGCTTTAGGTAAAGTAAAACAAAAAGGTTGTCTGTCTCAGCCTGGGCTCTGTCTGAAAAAAAGTCAACAATAAAGAAGTGTTTCTGACAATTTGTAACCATGGGGCTTGTCTTCAGTTGAGCTGGGGATCACATTTATATTCCGTGCTTACACCAGATAACGCTATAGAAAGAGCCGGGACATGCTCAGCTTTTTCTTCACTTGCACAGAAAAACAGTGAGCAACACAGAAGCTGGAACCAAAAGGATACGTGTTCCTCTATCTCAAGATTTCTCTTGGTCTGATTTTATATCAGCAATAATTTTTGAATGAAGATTTTGCCTCAGAGGGAGGCATCTGCACTTCATAATTAAGAAGGAACATAAAATCCTTGGCGGCTCAGGTATCCTCCACAGAACAAGCCTTTTAAAAAACTGTAATGTTTTTGACTTGACATTTAATTCCATAGACTCTTAATAAACACTTACACAGTCCCTCTCTCAAGGAGCTCTTCATCTCACAGCAGAGAAAAGTCACAGGCAAAACCACATGGATCTGAGCACGTGACACTTAACTCTTGTTTTCCTTCACCAGTTCCTTCAACTGGTCTCTCATATAACATACTTTCAAGATCCTTTCCCATTCTGGTTCACAAAGTCAAGAAAATTACACAGGTTTATAAAAAGTGGTTGATGAAATTAAGGATATTGCAAAGGAAGTGCTCAGGGACCAAAGATTAAAGGGAAGCCAGCAAGTGAAGCAGAGTCCATTACGGAGGGCATTGTAAATTCTCATTTCTAGGGAGAGAGTATGGTACCATGACTCTGTCAGCACCAGAGGCAATAACAATGTAATAGAGGAGAAAGTACTCACATAACACACATTTTGAAAGTGAGAGTGACAGGGAACCCGAGTTAGCTAGAGGTGGCTGGCTAATGCCCCCCCTGCCCCTCAGAGCAATTCTAGTTAGGGCAAGGCTTTCTTGATGCTTCTTTGACCAAATGATGATTCACAACAAGGCTGTTGAACCTGTAAGCAAGCTTAGCCTCAGCCACTAAGATACACTGAGTCTCTGTGCACATCCACACGACTGAGATTAGCTTTCAAAAATACTTGAAATACAAGCAATCCCCTAAGCAATTTGGGATGTGAGCTTATTCCACAGAGACAAGATTAAACACACACATGAAATGATTTTTTCACTTTCGACAAGTTATTTTCACATCATGTGATAATTAAAACCAAGTTAAACATGTCACAAAATAAACAAACAAAAAACCAGGAATGTCCCAGAAAGCCAGGATGTCTTTCCATAGCAGGTACTGAGCTGCCCTTACTAAGCCTGTTGGTAATCCTATACCTGCTTCAAACAAATAATCAACAGAAAAAACAAATCTAGGGTTAGTCAGTAGTTTTCAGTAGTTAGACACATTTTATATTTTAACCTAATAATGTTGGCATTATTTTCTTTGTTAGAAACATCTGGAGAAACCTAGAGCAAAGGTGAGATGGCTCATGGGAAATGTGGCTGGTCAGGAAGACAGCTGAGGGAGACCTCACCTTGTCTTGCTCTAGTCCTCACTCCTTACCTGATGTCTGAGACCCCGTAAAACAACCTGGCTCCACTATCCTGCCCCTACTGTTATCCGACATAAACTAGTTGCTTCAACTAGTTCCGGTCTCTCCTGGTCCACTGAGCACACTTGGGGAAGCCTGTCTCCACGCCTTTGCTCTGAGTGACTTCCTGGAAGACACGCCCTCTTCAACCTTCCACCCCCACTGCCCACTTGTTGGGCTGCTGCTATCTTCCCAGCCCATGACGCTGTCACTGGCCACCTCAGCCCCCAAGTAGCAATTCTTCCCTTAAAGTCCCACAGCATTTAATGCCATATTTCATTTGGCACTTGCCTTTGTCCTGCTATTTCTGACACTTGATATGTTCAGATCTTATCTCCCCAGCTAAACTGCCTGCTCATTGAAAGAAGAAACCAGATTCTGATCTTTCACTGCATAATCCCCCAAAGGGCCTGGCATTGTTGTTCTGTGTGTGAACCTCAGGGCATCACTTTCCATTTATCCCTAAAAATTTAAGGACAAAAAGGTAAAAGTGGGAGGAAAATAAAAGGGAACAGGAGAAATTGTGTAACGACCTCTGATACTTCAGGTATCTGTACTTTAGAAGGATAATTTTGACCTTGAAAGAAAGGATCAAGATGGAACTTCCACAAAAAAAAAAAAAGAAGATGGAACTTCTTTTCCTGAGAGGAATTCAAGCAGAGTGCTATTGATCTCTGTTTTCTCTTTGTGACAGGGACATACCTGTGCACCAGCAGACTTGGACTGGGCATCTAAGAATTATGGCCCAAAGCCCAAGAGAGCACCAGTTTACAACCCCTGCTTTTCCTCTGCATCATCTCTGCTAGGGCAATACTGAGAGAAGCACTGTTGTGTTTTCTGTATAGGAGCTCTGGCCAGTGGCAACAGTATCAAAAGCTAATATGTCAGCTTTGTCCCAGCAGGAACCAGCGCAAAAGTTATTGGCTACACAAGCAAATCATCCTGTTTTTGTCCAGAATCACTGTTTACAGGGGTTTTCAAATTTTGCTGCATATTAGAACTACCTGGGGAGCTTTTAAAAATCCTTATGCCCAGCTGTACCCCATACCATTTAAATACGAATCTCCGGGAATGGACCCAGGCATCAGATGTTTTAAAATTTTACCCTGTGATTTCAACGTGCCATGAAGTTTGAGAAGCAGTGATTTAACCAGGTCCATCAGCAATCTACCCAACCGTTCATTCTGCAGTGGTGATGTTAGAAAACTCCGGCTCATTCCAAAATGAGCATGCGACTGCAGAAGGCAATGTGGGCAAGACTCATCTTTGATTACTTGGATGGCTGGATATCCAGCTTGTGACTAAGCCAATCTTCAGTGTCTCCATATTTTTCTCTTGCCTGTGGTCTTTCCCATTAGCGTCTCTACCTCAAAGTAAACGAGAGGAATCTAGCAATGACAACACTACATTTCGCTTTCTATTAGTGGGGAGAGGAGCTTCCAGTGGTTCTTGCCTGTGACAGTTCATTAGATCACCTGGGATATTTAAACACATCCATGCAGGGCCCACATCTCAGAGATGTGGGCTCAATTTGTGTGGAGCTGTGGTTCTTAACATGTGGTCTCCAGACCAGCAGCATCTGCGTCACCTGGGAATGCTTCAGAAATGCAAATTCTTAGGCTCCATCTCAGACTTACTGAATCAGAAACTTCGAAGGAGGGAGGGCAGAGGGAGGCAGAAATCTGTGTTTTAATAAGCCCTCCAAGGAATGATGATCATGCTGAAGTCTGAGTACCACTGGTTTAGGCAGGCACGGGTTCCAGTGATTCTGAAAAGACCCACAGATGTTCCTACTGGGCAACCTAGGTGGGGACTCATAGGGTTAAACAGTACTGGCTTAGGTGGTGACATTTGTTTCTTAATTGCAGTTTCCACACTCTCCCAATGTCCAATCCTCCAGGAGAGACAAAGCGCCTTTCACTGGGGTGAGTATGAGAGCTCTTGCATTCTGTTGAAAAAAAATACATTCGGTGTTGGTGTGTTCAGTCATTTTAACAACTGAATTAGATCAGCAGCAAAGCCCATCTAACTACTCGCTCAAACATTTGTCAATAAAATGACCCATCCAAATCATCTCCCCATTAAATGAATAGACTTTCCTCCAAAAATAAAACAGCCAATTAACAGTGACTCCATAGCCAAATATAACCATCTTTTTAATTCAACAGGATAAAAGAGATATGAATATGAATACGAGGCATCTCCTTCATTTTGAAATGGGCCTTTGGGTCAAAATTTCGTGCTTTGATTGGGCATCCATCTCATCCTTCAAAGAGAACTTAATAGTTTAAAAAGCTCAGGGTTTTTATTTGTGCAGTGATGACATTCAGAATTCTAGCTTTCATGCAGTCTCAGGATAGAAGCCTCTGGCAAGCTATGTAATAAATAGAATCTTTATATGAACATCGATTCATACTTTACATAAAGGAAGTTACTGTGCAGTGACTAAAGCTTCCAAGAGTGGATTACAGGCTGGCTGTTCTCTTCTTGTCCTGCATTTGGCTGGGCCTGGGGGTGGGAAGTATCCCTCAGCTCTTTTGGAGCTCCAACAAAGCTTCACGAGAAAGGGGGCAATCCTATGGGTCAGTTTATATCTCTGAGTCTCTGATGATAAGTTACTGGTGTAGTATGAAAGATCTACTATTAGCCTTAGACAAGAGAAGCGGCTGAGATGGCAAGCATGCCTCTCTCTCTACACGCATCAAAGTCAACAGGGCTGTTCACTCATGGACAGCTCTGGGGACCCCAATCTGTCTACTGAGAGTTTACCTCGAGGACAGTAGATGTCTGGAGCCCATCGGTTGCACTCATAATTGTCTGCTGCCTTTTCACAGGTGAAACACTTAAATCCACCAGGATATGGTGTGGCTACAAAAAAGATCAAGAGAAAAGACTGTTTTAGACTGAGCACAGAATCTTGCATTGTGAAGTTAGACATTTTCATTTTTTAAAAAGGATTCTCAAAACAGCCTGGCAGTTTCTTAAAAAACTAAACATGCAACTACTATATGACTCAGCAATTGTACTCTTGGGCATTTATCCCTAAGAAATGAAAAGTTACATTTGCACAAAAATCTGTATGTAAATGTTTACAGCAACTTTATTCATAATAGCCAAAACTAGAAGCAACCCAGATATCCTTCAATGGGTGGATGGTTAAACAAACTGTGCTATATCCATACTATGAAATAACAGTCAGCAATAAAAATGAACTATTAATACATTCAATAACCTGGATGAATTTCCAGGGAATTATGCTGAGTGAAAAAAGTCAATCCCAAAAGGTTATATACTATATGATTCCATTTATGTAACATTTTTTAAATGAGAAAATTTTAGAAATGGGGAAAAGATTAGTGGTTGCCAGGGGTTAGGGATGGGAGTCGTAGCAGGGAGGGTTAGAGTGAGGTGGGTGTGAGGCCGACAGGAGGAGTCCTTGTGCGATTAAAACTGTTCAGTATCTTGACTTGCTGGTGAAGACACAAACGTACACATTCGATAAAATCATGAAGAACTAAATACACACACACACACAAACACACGCACAAATGAACACAAATAAAACTAAGGAGGTCTTAATAAGACCAGTGGATTGATGTATAATGTCAATAACCTGGTTGTGATATTATTCTACAGTTTTCCAAAATGTTCCCATTGGGGGAAACTGGATAAAGTATAGATGGACTCTCTCTATATTATTTCTTACGACTGCTTATGAATCTACAATTATCACAATAAAAATTTCAATTAAAAATGGTACTCTGGCTTTCCAATGATTTACTTTTGTGTCAACTTATGTAGACACGTCAACATGTAATATAAATATTAGGTTCAATCATTAAAAATTTTCTGATGTTTGACCATTTTTTACCTACAAAAGTGGCAATTTCTTTGGTTCAATCTAATACTTTTATCAGTCGGATGTGACATGGTTAAGAATACCTGGGGATGGTAAGTATCAGCTAAGAGGAGGGTCTTCATGGCTAAAATACATGGTGCCTATGCAGAGGTGACCCTCCTAAGGGGCCTCTTGGGCCCGTGTCCAACGTCCACTGGGCAGCACGCTGAGGGCACGTGGGGAGGCGAATGCACTACAGGCTCCCAGCTCCAGCTGGAGGGATGTGTAATTCCAGGAAGCCCTTCCTATGGATCCCCTTCTCATCCCACCCCCGAACTGCCTCTTCCTGCCTTTCCACGAGACTGTCCTCCAGGTACCTGTATTCCCTGCTCTGCATTTATGCTCAGGCGAGAGGCGTCCCATGAGAGTCATACTCTAGAGAGTGCCCAGCACACCGGGGCCTCGTTGGCATTTAAGGACGGATCCACAGGGAATGTCAGGCGAGATTGTCCCTGTCCTTCTCACTGCTGGGCTTTTACCGTCTGCTTAGCTCTAACCATTTGCTTGCTTTGCTGCTTTGAGTTTTGCTTTTCATAAACAGAACTTGTGTGTGTGTGTATTTTTAATTTGTAAAATTACCTGGCCTGTTTGAAAGCTGCCAACACTCAGACACTTCATCTGCAGGAGCCAACTGTTCTCCCTCGCAGATGGCTGAGCCTGCATATCCCACTGGCGGAAATAATCATCTCAGGGTAAATTGCTTTGCCCACATGGAACCAATTAAGTATGTTATCAAAAATAAATGAAGGAGGCAGCAGCTTAAGACCAGAATTATGGGCCAGATATAACTTTGATTTTCACCTTGCCTAGAATAGCTGCCCATCCTTGCACTTGCAATATTTCACAGAGCCGACTCTGACCATATCCAATAACCTAACATGATCAAAAGTCATAAAGCCTAAAAAAGACAGGTAACTGGACCTTTTTATGGGCCCATTTGAGAGTTCCATGTTCCTCCAAGTAGTTGGTGACTCAAACTCATAAATAGAATGGTAAGTACATGGATTGTCTTAGAAAACAAGGGATGAAAAGCAGCTTAGACATAGCCGTCCAACCACTTCATTTCCAATGAGGAAATTTCCCTATGGCTAAACATGCTCTCCTTATCATGTAATTACAATAAAACAGAATTAAACTATTTTGTAAAACTACACACAAATAATTTTTTTTTAAAGATTTTATTTATTTATTTTTTCCCCCCAAAGCCCCAGTAGATAGTTGTATGTCACAGCTGCACATCCTTCTAGTTGCTGTATGTGGGATGCGGCCTCAGCATGGCCAGAGAAGCGGTGCGTCGGTGCGCGCCTGGGATCTGAACCCTGGGCCGCCAGCAGCAGAGGGCGCGCACTTAACCGCTAAGCCACGGGGCCGGCCCCACAAATAATTTTTATATCTCCACATCCCACCACCCAGATAGGTGGGTTAACATTTGAGTTGAAAGAGTCTAGTTTAGGTCAGTACATGCCTGAAGAATTTTAAAAAAAGAGGTTCTTCTATTCTAAAGCCATTCAATATTCTTATGGACATTTTAATTAGCTTATTTGTACAAATACTGTTGTGAAAAAAACCACGCAATATAATTATTGTGATTGGATACATTAAAAAATAGTTTCACTATCAACTTTAAAATAGTTAATATATAAATATGTTTAAAAGATAGAATTTTAAAATAATTTGTAGAACTTGAAGTAGAATTATCAAAGTAGGAGTTTTGTAAAAAAGATGTAAACGATTCGTCAAAGAACAGCATTTCTCAAAAAATGATCATATTCACCAAGGTTTATGACTGCAAGCTAGCCGTACCACTTCAGCTTGCATGATTAATTCACCAGAGTATCCAATTTTATCTGTCTGTCACTGCAGCCAGTAAAACTTTTAGCTGGAATGTTGGATTAGTTATTCCTGGAAACTTTCCCATCAAAGAGATAAATTAAGAACTTTGAATGAATACTGACGATCCAGCCGTTCCAAGAATAAACTTATTGAGAATCTAGCACTAATAAGTTCTAGTGTTCCCAAATTTGGATTATTTAATAGACTCTTCAAAATTATCTTTTGCAAGACTAGTGACATATTAAATTAAACACTGTCATTTCTTACACAAGTAGGCTGGACTCTGAAATTAACTCAAAGTATATCAAAATTGAAATGGGAATATGAGCTAAAACACTATGGTAGCAAGATAAAGCTTTGTTTCAAATCATTTATCTCTGAGTACGTTTATCAGCACATATCACTGACAATTAACCAAATGATCTCCGTCTTGGTGAGTTTTATTTTTAAATCTACAACTTCATATCTGTGTACGCCCTCAACGATGACAGTCTCATATTTTCCTATGGGAACTTGTATTTACATCTTGGCAGATAGCACTGATCAGTGAATAATTAAACCCTTTTCACTGACAAATCTCTGCAAACAGACTCAGCTCTGAGTCAACAATTATAGCAGAATACCAAATAATGGTTAAATTCGTCCCCTGGAAATATTTAGCCAACAATAAGGCTACAGATGAACAACTATCTGCAGTAACTTGCTAACTGACACTGCATCTGATAAAGAAGTTTTTTAAAAAGACAGAAAGAGATTTCTAAGAGATGTGCTATTTTCCTCTTTGTTACTTCAAAGCATTACAGAGCAAGTTAGAGTTTCAAATCGGTGTGGCCCCAGCTGTGAATGAATCTAATTTGGCTCTTGATCACAGAGTTAATAAGCTTAGGACTCTGTATTTCAGGGCATAAGTCCTTGGTCCCTCAAGAGAAGGTGATTGCAAAGAAAAAAAGAAATGCCAAAGTGCCCAGTTACTTCCTGTAACATAATCTGTCCATTAGCTCTCATGGTCAGCCGTAGTTCAACTAACCGTAATTCATTTGTAAGGCATCGGAAAAGATTCCTCTTTGTTTCCATCTCTTGGAACTTTTGCCTGGACAAAGGCCTTCAGTTGCCACAACCGTGGTGAGAAGAGAATCTTATTTTGAAATGTATGCTGATGTGTAATGCATCCAAACTTTTTTCATTCTTGCCAAATTAATTTCCATTGTTTTTGGAAACTGGATGCAAATATAAACTTTCTAGAAATCTAATAAATTGATCTTCCTTCTCAGTCCACTTGGCAACAAAATATTGTCAGTGTAATTTTATTACCTTGAACATATTTCTGATAGAAATGCATTTCTTAGTACTTTCCTAGAAAGTCCCCTTACTCCCTAAGACTTACGTAGTATAGAATTGTGAAAAAATTTCAGTGGCTCTCTATGTGGGCACAAGCAACCTCCCTGCCCCCGCAGGGATATAGCTCTTTGGTCCACATGATTAAGGAAAGACTCAGAATAAGCAACCAGAGACAAACTGGATTTTCAGGAAAGGTTTCTATTACAAGGAAAGAAATGGAGACCAAGAACAGGCTGCATCCAGTTAGGACGTTCAATTCCGCTCTCTCGCATGATGTCTAACAACCAAATAAGTAGCTCCATTTCTTGTAATACTAACTCCTGTTTTGAAGGTTTTCATTAGGCTTTGGTACTTTAATCATGGCTAGGAAGAAATTCATCATTTTTCACATGAAAAAAGAAAAACAATACAAATTACAGAAAATAATGTTATTGAGGACAGTGCCTCAAGTTTGAAAGCCATAAAGTTTATTTCTTTTAAAGGCTTAGAAACTTCAAAGATCAGGGAACCAGAGCACAAAGAAGATTAGTCATGGGAGGCTGAACTTTCCCAACCCGGGTTCCAATCTCACCCCACTTATTATCTCTGAGGGCTGTCTGGGGCCCAGGAGAAATGAGTTTACGTTCATCTGGTGTAGAAAACTTTGTGTGTCTTCTCCCATCTCTGCCATCACTGCATCTTTCCTTGGGCAGGTTCCGAGCTGCATCTAACATTAAAGGCATCTGGCTTACTTGCTGACCCCAAGAAACCTGTTTGTGCCTCCATCTACAAAGTGAGGCGATTATATTAATAATTCAAAATCAGAATAATTCCACGTTTCCCTCATATATTTTTTATGGTCTATGTTCTACAGAAACTTGCTTATTTGTAGAAAGATCGCTCCATCTAAACATGGCCTAGTGGGTGTCACTCAGGGGCAGAAGACCAAGACTGTTAAAAAATCAAATGTAAAAACAAGCAAGCAAACACCAAAAACTTCTGAAATACTGCAGAGAAATGTGAAGTGAACTCTGCTTTAAAGTGGGCAGCGTAAACAAAGTTCTGGCCAAGTAGGAACCACGGATAGTAACTTCAGTCCAGCAAGAACTTATACTCCTCAAGACCAGTTATGGAGACCATGCCAAAGAACTCAGCCCAGACCTGCTGGTGAATTGTCCACATACAATCTAGCCCAGGAACCACTCTTCTCTCCTTCTCCCTATGTCAAAATCGTATCAGAAAACTCCACCAATTCTTTCCACATGGAGAGTTCTTTTTAATCGAGCCATGGCTCTATTTAATTAACATAGGTCACATGAGCGGAACTTTTCCACTAACTTCTAAAGAGCAGAAGTGATTGCCCCTCTGCCCTGGCAGAGCTCATCCTTCAAAGATCCCATTCTGAAATGGAGTTTCCAGCGACGGGCCCCCACTCAACCCGGGCACTGACCCGGCACAGGACTAAGGCACAAGTGGTGTGTGTGTTTGTTTTGTTCTTGTTCACGTCAATCCAATCCCCTCGATTTCCCTCCTACCCTGTGTATACAATCATAGCCTCAGAGAAGGCCACGTGGGGCCCATTTTGCAGCCTGGTAACTAGTGAGTCTGTTACTGAAGAGGACAAAGAATCCCACAGAAGCCGGAAGTCCTGGCAATCAAACCTATGAGACTGAAATCCAGGTTTGTGTTCACCATGTCTGATAAAAAAGCAGTGTTGTTTGAAGAAAAGAACAATGTGATCCTAGGAAACAGGCAAGTATCAAAACACCTTGTTTTCATGAATATTACTCAAAGTAAACAGACCTGCAAAAACAAGCAGCCAGATAATCTTCTCACACAATTAGCCAGTAGGCACCAGCCTATCCTGGTGAGCATGTACAATAGCAATAAGTCTAAAGGAGCTATTGCTACCTGTCAAAAGGATATTTGAGTGAAAAAATTAGAGCAATGTGTTTTCAGCACCCTCAATTTACTGTCTGAGCCAATTACAACAACATAATAAACAACAAGCATCCGATTACCTATTATGTATGTACCTAGTATTTTATGGATGTTATTTCTAGCCCACAAAATAATGCTACAGGGAATGTATGATTTTATCTACTTTAGAAATGTGGAATTTCACATTTCTAAATTAACACTTAGAAAGATTCCCCTCACATTTATTGAGCATTTACTATGGCTCACACTCAGCGCTAAGTGCTTTGCTTGCATTATTTTATTTAATCTTCACGACGTTAGGGAATTGATTTCAAGTCAAAAGGCTATGAAGCAGCTGAGCTAGCTGCTGACCCGAGGTCAGGTGGATGCCAAACCCCTGTGCATTCCTTGGACCACCTCTCCTCTAACCCACAACTTTTAGACGTTAAATATTCTAACAGTATGGCATGGAAGGAGTCCAAGTGGCTGCCTCTGCTTTGTAGACTGTAAGATCCTCAAAACCAAGGGCTATGTTTTATTTGCCTTTATACCATTCGTGTCTGTCACAAGGCTTGACACACAGTAGACACTCAAACAATGTTTGTTGCACAGAACATTTCAAGAGAGTCATGCACCTCAGGGCCAATGCCAAAGGTCAGCAAATACACAGTACACCCCGCTCTCGCTGCCACGGGGCAATCCAGAGGATCCAAAGACAAATAAAGAGGATGAGATAAACACAGAGATGGTAACCAAGAGGAAGTAAAACTGCTGTGTTTTCCAAAGTGTGATCCTTAGAATATTGACAAAGGCACCTGAAATTCTTGCTGAAAGCAAAAATCCATGGGGACAGCCCAAGTTGTATGCAATCAGACACTCTAGGAAAGGGATCTGGGCATCTACATTATTATGCACTCCCTAGATAATTCCTAAACACAGGAAACCCGAAGGGATAGAGAATAGGAAGGTGCAGAAGGCAATTATGTTGAAACTCAGAATTAGAGGCACAGACAGGAAGACCAGCTATTATCTTGCCTATAAAGGATTGATCTTTTACACCTTCCTCCTGGGACATGGTGGTTCATTTTGATAACTGCCTGGCTGGCACAAGTCAAAGGGAAGGGTGTTCAGAATCAGAGCAAGTGTGTAGGGAACAGAGAAAACAAGCCTAATAATTTGGCTTAAAATAAACACGCTATAAAAAGGTGAAGGTAAAATATACAGCATCTTTGGTAGCACCTGCACCTCTAATTAAATCACCAGAGGTTTCCCCTGCAGGGAAGGCTGCCGTCTCCTGGCCATTTTTCAACTCATGTCTTATTCAAAGTAAAGTGACATTTCTGCAGCAAAGAGAACAGAGTCTTACTTGAAGGGTGGAGGTAGATAATGTCTTTCACTGTGAAGTCTCGGGACTGAGCAGCTTTCAGACAATCAGCCAGCAGGCTCAGGAGCAGGAGCCAGGCCAGGGCAGGGCCAGGTTCCATGGCAGACCCAGGCGTCACTCATACAGGGCACCCAGGAGCGGGGACTCAGGATGACAGGAGAGAACTCGTACCTGAAATATGAAGCAAGATTCATCTCAGTGTCTAACTCGAGAAAGCTATGGGAGACTTGGCTGAGTTCTTCTGTTGGTGGGATGGGCTGGGGAGGCACACGGAGCTGAGGGCACAAGGAAGTGGCTCAACATGGAGAGAAACTTTATAAATGGTAATTTTAGAGCACTTAGAAAATTCCAGCCCAAATCTATTCTTAATCAGGTCGCTAAAGCTCCATTGGTAGCAGTCCCCTCTAATATCCAGCAGAGATGGTATCAAGAGAGATTGAATTTTAATGAAATCCAGCTATTTTTGCCAGGAGGCCATGGAATGGCTGCCAGAATGCAACAATAAATAAGTCAGGTATGAAAGCTCATAGGCATTTCCTTGATAATGGTGAAGGCCAGGTATGCGAGTGCAGCCTTCCGGGGTCATGTTGCCCAGGCAGACCTGTACAGGGTAGACTTTCAGATTTGTAAAAAAAGAAATGTAGGGAAATTGGCTTCTCCCAAACCAAAAAGTGCCTTTATAGCTCAAAATCTCCTTAACATAAGTAACATTATTGGCCTGGTACTGTTGAAGTGCTTTGCATATATCACTCTGTCCTCCTGAGGACACATGCAGGTGAAACACATGCAACGTGGGCACTATTATCATCCCCTTTTGAGCAAACTGAAGTCCAGCAAATAAGTAGAGGAGCTGATTCAAACCCTGGCTGTCTGGCCACGTTTTTAAACACTAGGTGATACTGTGTTCTTCCAAAGACTGTGTTGAGGTGTATACAGAAAAACTGATGAAATAAGATTGAGGTGTCACTGTAGCAGTAAGCAATCATCATTCTATCCTCTATTCTGATTCTGCCCTTTTCAATTAAAATTGAGGGCAGTAAAATCTTTTACTGGGGTTGAATTGTCCAGTTTACTTAGCATGTAGATATATATCTTCATCTCTATGTGCTATTCGCTTGCCCTCTTACTGCTTTTCTATAGAGTCTGTTCCTCGTTTTCTACTGTGTTCCAAATACCATCATTCTATTGCCCATGCAACAGGTCAAGTTAGATATTCACTTTATTTTAAACTGGCTGAAAAACCATAATTTGGACATTTTGTTTACAAATTTTAACACAAATATTCAGTGGGATTTTTTAAACAGCAGAACTAATTCTAAAATTATTTTGTCAAAACAAAAAGGCCAAGAGTAAATATATTACAAAGAAATATCAATAGAGAAAATCAATATGGACTAATCAGATATTAGAATATACTACAGAGTAATATTAATCAAAACAGAATGATGGAAAAGACAGAAAATAGAACAGTCTAAGGAGCTCAGAAATAGACTCAATTATTTACAAGATACAAGCAATTTTTCAAAATTACAGAACAGGAAAATATTAAATGAATAGTATTATGATAACTTGATTAAAAATTGTGAAAAAGATTAACTGAAACCAAACAATGCACGATACACTAAAATTAACTCCAGATGGATTGGTGTGTTCATTATTTTAAAAAATTAGACAAACTATTAGAAAATAGAGTAGAACTCTTATCGCCCTGTAACAGCTTGATGATGCCAGCCTTGCCAATTTCATGCTCACTACACCATCTTCTGTTTACAATTTGGTTCCTCCAAGCAAATTTGTATTCAGGAAGAGAATGAGCTGCTTGTTCACTTAATAGATGTGACTGCCAGGCACTGTGCTGGGCAGCTAGTTGAACAATATGATGAGAAAATAAACAAGTTATCAATGATATCTTTCCCTCGCTGAGTGGCAGACAAACATTGTCTCATCTTAAACGAATGCAATAGTGCTTTGCTGTACATTCATCTGGTCAGGTGAGGCTGCAGTGAGGAACCGATCTGCACACACAGCGCTCTGTGGAGACCTGAGAGATTGTATCAACACTCCCATCTCCTCACAACCTGCGGGAGGGCTCAGTTTGAGGGAGTGGTGAGGAAAGCTATCTGGTTTTATTTTGATATAATTTATCAAACATTAAATATCAACTAGTTGCCAACCTAAGTTCTCTTTAATGTGAAACTCAATACCAACACCAGTGCTTCACATGCATCAAATAATGCAAGTGGCATGTCTTCATTAAAGCATGTCTCATCCACAGTATTCCTTCCAGTCATTGATTTAAAGGTCTCCCTCTGCACAGTACTTGCACTAAGCATTATGCATTATTTAATGTCATCTGAAATTAACCTTACTGCAACTTCTGCGGCGTGGCTACCCAGCCACAAGCCTTCATTTTCACAGCCTGTGTTGATTTATGTGAATAACATACAGAGGTGAAGAGCTAGAAGCTTGAGTTTGAAGCCTTGCTCCAACACTTTCTTGCTATGCAATCTTAAGCCAGTTACTTAACCACTTGGAGCCCCAGTTTTCTTATCTGAAAAATGGGGATCATAATACTACCTACCTCAAAAGTATATTATGAGAATTAAATGACTTAACATATGTAAAGCACTAAAACAGTGTCTGTCACACAGTAAATGCCTTGTAATGTTTCCCAATATTTTTACTAGTCATGCGTCACTTAATGACAGAGATACCTTCTGAGAAAAGCGTCATTAGGTGATTTCACCACTGTGCAAATATCATAGAGTATACTTACACAAACCTAGGTGATCTAGCTACCCACACACCTAGGCTTTATGGTACTAATCTTATGGGACCACTGTCGTACATGCAGTCTGTGGTTGACCAAAACATCGTTAGGCAGTACACGACTATATTATTGTTTTGTTCACAATCAGTCAATATAGTTTCTTAAGTGAAAGTAAACATGGTGCAGTTAACTTTGGTTCCACACACAGGTCACTTTCCTTAAATCAGAAAAATAGAACAATTCCCAAAACTAGTAAGTATGACAAATCATGATGTATACGTCTCCTCCACCCCAACATCTGCCCCATGGCCAGCCAGGCAGGCACAAAGTCGGGGGGAGACAGGAGGAGGGTTCCTCCTGCCACCAGCATTTTAATATTGCTGAGGCTCATGCAGGCCCAGCCCACTTCCTGCCATCCCTCGTCAATGAAGCAAACAGGTGGGTGCTGCCCTTCTGCGCTCTCCCCATATCCTCCCAGGCTACCCTATAAGGCGTATGTTCCAGCCCACGATCCTTACATAACTGCTTTAGTTAGATTTTACTCGTCTAAAAGATGTTGAGAGGGCACAGGTCACGAGCACATCACCTTGTATCCCTTCCAAGCACCTGTCTCCGTGTGTGCATTCTCACACACCCTACTCACGGTGAAGAATCATGGATTAAGTTAAAGCAGCCATTTCATTCATTAAAAGAGATCAGCTCTACTTACTATGGCAAAGGGCAAGGCTGATTCTTTAGGCCTGACTTGTTTAGTGCAAGTTTTCAAATTTGGGGGTGGGGGGTTCAACTACTTTTTAATCATGAATTTTATGTGTTTAATGAAGAATTTCCAAATTCTTAAAGTCGTTGAAACTTTATTATCCCAACACATTTTACTCATGAAATTATTCTTCCTTTAGGGGAAAAAACAAAAAAGTATGTATTTCTGGGCTTATGTATGATTAGAAAAAAGGACTGAAAGGATAAACACCGAAATGATGTGGAAGTTAAGATAATTTTAATGTTCTTCCTTTTGCTCAATTTGCATGCTCAAAATTTTTTGATGAGTGTGTGTTACTTTTATAAAGAGGGGAACGGTTTTTTGAAAAATAATGCTTTTCAAGCAGTGAGTTTGACAGAATAATTTTACTTTATATGCACAAATAAAAGCCAGCTCTTCACCTAAGGCCAGTGAAGATAGCCTCAAAAATGTCCATGTCTCTTCTAAAATAATAGAATCAACATTTGACAGAATGTTCTCTCTCACCTTCTCTTACCATGCCCTTCCCTTAGTGTCATAGTCCAGGTTCTTCATAGCAGAATCTGGGGCAAGGACTAAAGGTGCTAAGATTTTACTTGGGAGGAGCAAGCCCAAGACAATGAGGGTAAAGATAGGGAGAAAGAGAAAGAGAGAGAGGCAGAATGAAGCTAGAAGACATAGAGCAATGTGATCCTAGGTTACTATGCTACTCACCACTTCACAAAAAGCCACAATGAGACACAGGATTCCAAGGAGGACCTGCACCTTAGTGCAGTCCATGCAAGGAGAAAGGAGGGAGAATTTATCAGCCTGGTGCCTTCCTGTCTCTTGTTTCCCATTGATCAAGGTTCACTCCACAAAGAACTCAGTCCCCTCCATTTCAGCAGCCACAGTGGAGAGTCAACCCAGTATGGCTGGACCTCTGACCAAGAAAGAGAAAAAAGGCACCCATCACAGGAATCTGAGAAAACACTCGAGGTCTGTCTCCAGTGCATGTGTTATTAATCCTTGTAAACACCACACTGCCTTTTTTTTTTTTAAGATTTATTATTTTTATCTTACTTAAAAAAAAATTATATTGAGATAAAATTCATATAACATAAAATCCATCACTTTAAAATAACACAGTTCAGGGGCCGGCCCAGTGACGGAGTGCTTAAGTTCATGTGCTCCACTTCAGGGGCCCAGGGTTCCTGGGTTTGGATTCTGGGCGTGGACATAACACACCACTCATCAAGCCATGCTGTGGCAGCATCCCATATACAAAATAGAAGTAGACTGCCACAGATGTTAGCTCAGAGACAATCTTCCTCAAGCAGAAAGAAGAGGAGTGACAACAGATGTTAGCTCAGGACCAATCTTCTTCACCAAAAAAATAAATAAATAAAATAACACAATTCAGTGTTTTTTTGTATATTCATAATATTGTACAACCATCACCTAGTCCAGAACATTTCCATCACCCCAAAAAGAAATCTTGTACCCATTAGCAGTCACTCCCAATTCCCTCCTCTCCCTACTCCCTGGCAACCACTGATCTACTTCTCTCTCTATGGATTTGCCTATTGAGGAACATTTCGTGTCAATGGAATCATACAAAATATAGCCTTTTGTGTCTGGCTTCTTTTACTTAGTATAAGGTTTTCAAGGTTCATTC